TTGAGGAAAACCCAAAGTTTCAGAAGGAGCTAAGTGGAGAAATTTACTAAATTTTCACATATTTTATCTAATACACACGGTTGGACTGGCCCGCTGGAAGGTACGCCTTTTTCCTTTGTCAAAAATGGTTTTACCCAAATATAAGGGTATAATATAAATAAGAGAATCCAAACTTATCCAGAAAATCTGACCCCGTTCAAAGATACAAACTATTCTTTATAGAAAGCGATGAGAAAATTAAAAGGGTCACAAGACTCTATACCTTCTTTAAAAAATCCCAAAGGCAAGAACAGATACAAAGAAATCTGGGACATTCGCAGAACATTTTTCGAAAGTATTTAGTTCATTTACCAGAGAAGTGCCTATAGAAGAAGAAGAACCACTTCATTTTTCCAAAATGAGATAAAATCCAACAAGGCGCCAGGATACGATCTCATTACAGGTAAGGTCCTTTAAGAACTAACTCATGATTGCTAAAGAATAATTACAATGATCTTCAATGCCATGTTAAGTCTGCACTATTTTCTTTGCAATAGAAAGTGGCTCAGATTATACTCATTCAAACACCTGGTAAAGATCCAAAAGATGTCAACTCATACCGACCGATCAGTTTACTCCCAGTCATTTCAAAGGTTTTTGAAAAACTTATGTTGAGAAAAATCAAACCAATGTTGGGCAAAAAGGCTTTTATACCTGACCATCAATTCGGATTTCGTGACCAACACTCTACAATAGAACAAGTTCACAGATTATACACAACAATAAGAACTAGTCTCGAAAACAAGAAATACTGTACCGCAGCCTTTTTAGATGCCGCTCAAGGTGTGGCATACACGACTTCTGTACAAGTTAAAGAAAAACCTCCCGTATACTTACTTTAAACTGCTTAAATCATACCTTACAGAAAGAAAATATCTAGTAAGGTATAGTGAATCCGATACAAAACTCTACCCCATCAAATCTGGTGTACCTCAGGGTAGTGTGCTCAGACCGATCTTGTACCTGTTATATACGGCTGACTTACCAACAAGCAATAACCTTACGATTGCAACATTTGTAGATTATACTGCTTTCCAACATCTCATAGTAACCAAGTAATAGCATCAGAGATACTGCAACTACATCTAAACAAAATTAATGAATGGTTTACACTCTGGAGATTTAAGGTAAATCCCTCAAAGTCCGCACATATTACATTTACTCTAAGAAGAGGTATATATCTACAAGTTAACTTTGATGAATATCCTTTACTCCAAAACGATGACCTAAAATATCTTGGTCATTGTCTGGACAAAATATTAACATGGGCCAAACATATATGGATGAAAAGACTACAACTAGGAATTGTCTACAGAAGACTTTACTGGATGCTGGAAAAAAACTCACACCTATCGATTGACAAAAGCTGCTGATATACAAAGTTATAATAAAACCCGTTTGGTCATGTGGTTCGCAGCTCGGGGATCAGCTAGCAATTCGAATATTATGAAAATACAAAGATTTTAGAATTTTAATCTAAAAATCCAATAACAATCGCCAATGCCCCTTGGTATATTTAGAATGACGCCTTATATCTCCAAGAACTAACAGTCTCTGAAGAGTGCAAAAGAATTTCTTAACAATATCAAAACATGTTGCGCGTGAATCCTAACACCCGGACCTACAATCTTCTCCACAACCAACAAGCGAAGAGATTAAAGCGGTATGATCCCTTATCCCTTGTACCTGCTTGTACCTACCAAACCGTTCCTGACAGTGCCTACAGTAGTACAGCGCGCAAGCTTTGTAACCTGTACCGTTTTTACTATTAAAAACAAGCTAATATTTGTGTTATGATGCTTTGGTCACTGGACCTTATATCTCTATGACATTGTAAAGACAAACAATTTTACTTATTGTTTTTACTGTGAAACAGATTGTGAAAAATCTTAGATGTTAATAAAAAAAACCTTTACTGTAAGATGAAGCAGCTACCATTTCACTAAAAAATG